GACCCCCGCCCCCCCTTATACGTTCGCGTCTGGAAAAACACCAATACGGGCGAGGGTTAACATTTGTATAACAACAACATATACGCTAAAATACACCGGCTTCATCATCTAACACAATAAAGACGTTGTTAATAACTAATGCGTTTTGCATCGCTTCATCACCGAACGACAGGAGCACATGCATACAGCCCGGAGGCCGGAAGCATATTGCTGCCACGGACCACGGATGCTGACATCCACAATCCACATGCTCAGTGCTTCTGCAGAATACGACCTAGTAGTTCAACAAAAAATGCAAATGCTTAACCCGCGCACCGACGGGGGTCTGCGCCAACTTCGCACCGACGGGGGGGGGGGGGCGGATGACCGCCCCCCCCCTGAGATCTCGAGAACGAAGCAAGATAGCGACAAGCGGTAAACGGCATCAGATACGCACGGCCAAGATCTACAATTTTTACTAAGGTCATTTTCAGGTCAGGTCAAAGATGACGTCACAGGGGTCGAAAAAGTCAAAATGGCGGCGCTAGATATGGAGAGAGTTTTTCTCGAATAACTTTCGAATTAGTCAAGATAGGAACAAACTAAGGGCATCATCGTGATCCTCTCGTCAATCCGCATCGAATGATATATATGTTGACCTCGAAAGGTCAAGGTCAAAGGTTGACCTCAGGTCACGTGACCTCGAGGTCATCATGTATATCATTCGATGCGTCTTGACGAGCTGAACACAATGAGACCATCCACGCGTCTGTATCTTGTTCCTGTACGGAGTTATTGGCCAAAAACCTTTGGTGACCTTTGATGACGTCACATGACCTCACAGCTGCCCAACAGCAAAACAGACCTCAAGGTAGTGAAGGTTGATCGTATATGAAGTCATGTATGGTATATGGGGCCATTCCGACCCGTTATAGTGGTAAAAACAGGGAGTTGATTTTTCCCCCATTGACTTATAATGGGGAGGTCGCGAAATTGACCTGACCTTAGGTCACCGATATCAAAATTCCGAGATATACAAATTGTAGCTACTAATGACCTAATAATATCCTGCGACTTTCAAAGGCCTCCGACATCTACTGTAGCTCTGGCACGGTGACAAAGTTGCAAAAAAAGTGACTTGAGGTTGGGTCATTCAAAGTGACCTAGTGACCTGACCTTAAAAGGTAGGAGGTTCAAACTTGCACATCATGTGTAAAATTGATGAGGTTATAGTCATACCAAATTTCGCGGCGCGTAGCGCCGCGGTTTTCCCGCTATTCGCGAAAAACCTCAGGGGGGGCGGATATCCGCCCCCCGTCGGTGCGCGGGTTAAGAATAAAGGTGAAAGGTGCAGAGTGGTCGATGACATTGCTTCACCCTCCGAGCATCGATTTAAAAAAGGTCTGAAAACTAAAAAAAAAAACGAAATGAAAGCAAGCTGTTTTAACTTGCTCCCCAACAACGTCGTTTTTGCCAAAGCTTTCACGCATGGCTAAAGCTGTGAAGACACCGTTATTTTCATTTAGATTTAAGTTATTGCACGTTCACGCTGATTTTTCAACTTGGGATTGCTTTGTTTTCAACCAATGTAAAATGTGTTAATCATTCAGTGCCAGAACAGGACTTATTAACTGCGTAGGCAACCATAAATTGAATTAATAGCTTGAATGAATTAAAACAAGAAAGGCAGCTCAGCAGCTGCACCTGGGCCCGTCGTTTGAGACGATACGTAATCCTAACGGCCAATATTCGTTGGAAAGGAAATATTCAAAATATCTAGGGCCTTGTACTTTCGCTGTCGTAAGATTTGTCTGAGAGCCTTCAGCTTGCTCTACTTTTCCTGGTTAATCCTGGCTGGCCGGGTGCTGGGCTGAGTCGTAAGTTCTCATGAGATCGGCATCTTACTCTTGAAATTGATTAGATAGAGCCCAGTGACTTATTCAGGCTTATACGTAACGAACAATAAATCCCCACGAAAACATTTAGCAATGACTTCTCTCACTGCCAAAGAAGCAAATAAAAGAAAACTTGAAACAATTTGGGCCAGATAACACATCCATCACAAAGAACCGTCGGTAATTGCATTCCTCAGCTACTGAGTCGCGGAAATCGGCGAGTCTCTACAGACTGCTGAGTGCTGGTGGCTGTTTGCTCACCTGGGTCCGTTCGCTGGAGACTCCTGCTCGCCCGCTACCGGCTCCGTCGACCGGATCCGCCTCGGCGCGTCGGTCACCGTCGGCCGGTCAGGGGTGCCACCGACTGTCAGCCGGGGGAGCGCCGCCCCACCTGGAGTCCCGCGCCACACTGACCGCTCCGTGCGGCGAGTCGGTCATCGGAGCCGACGCCGCGCACCGTCGGCGATCCCGGCGCGTCGGAGGCGGTCCCGGCGCGTCGGAGGCGTCGGACGGTCAGCGACTGATCCTCGGCGGACAGAGCGACGGTGTGTTCCATGACAGAGAGAAAAGGTCAGCGCTCAGGGAGATACCTACGCCCGGTCGGTGGAGTGACAAAGGAAGCCTGTCGGAGACACATGTCAAACAAGGGGATATTTCACCGGGAGGCCGACACTAACTATTATAAGAACATATGACACTTAACCGGCTTCCAAGGGACATGGAACGTTGTTCGATTGTTGGATGAACGAGTCCAAACCATCCGCCTGGAAACAGATAAACGGCTATCGACTGGAGCGAGAGGAAACTCAAGAGCACTGAGGCCGAGAGTTCGAACCAAGGTCAACAGGTGCAGCCTTTCTAATGGGGTCGTGAAAGAGTGGAACGATGGCATGATAACTGTTGTTGGAACGAAATCATCGTTCATTTATATCCAAGTATCGGTGAAACAGTATATGTATATCTGACCCATTGGGCTCGGAGGGTTGCGACTAGCGGAGGGCGCGCGAGGATTCTGGCGGAGACAGCCGAAAAAGCTGGGCCGTAATCATGCTGCTGTGATGGAATACAAGGCAAGAAGCCGTGTGCACTGTGCACTTTCAAAAGTAAAATGGATTTAATTTGAATGCAATTACTGGAAATTATTACTTGAGGGATTTCAAATATGTTTATATTTGTTTTACAGTTACAGGCACTTCGCTGTGCCTTTGATGCGTGCACGTATGTAATGTATTTGGTGAGGCCGTCTATGCAAGCCATATAGCGTCTGTCTTATCATCCACGTTGGTACGGGGACCCGCAGTTGCTACTGTACAGGGTGGAAAGTAATTACGCGAACATGTATTTTCTTACAATTTCGCCCGTCAGTGGAGATTTTGTATGAGCGCGGGCTGTTATGGAACATGACTGGTCGTGTTTGTTGTCGCCTCATCTAACAAAAGTGACCTTACTTTGAAAAATGACTTGGAAGGTCTACGACACCTCTCGGCTTCGAGTGGTGCTGACGCCATACGCTGCTCAAGACCAAAATGGGCAAAGAGCTCAATTTGAAGTTGCCAGGGAAAGCGTTTGTGATTATTTTGGCTGGATTGGTGCGGAAGGGACTCGGAACGGTCTCGGCACCAGCATTACTCAATTACACGTTTGGCTGAAGCATAATAAAACCTAAGAGGACTTAAAAAGCAAAGCCGTTGGCGGCAGTAAAACCTCGGCGAATTCAGGCGCCGAATGGGTGGTCACCATTTCCGCGACCAAACGACAACAGTCGACCCGAAAACAGGCGAAATGGTTTACTTTGGCAGGGTACCCGATCTAAGATATCACGATTCATACATAAATCCGTGAAAATTCGAAAATCAAGCCGTACAAACAATCGAGATGGCCAAAATTCATGAATTAACGGCAGGATTGTCAATTTAAGTTTTCTAAAGACCGTCAAACCTGAACAGAGGAGGACAGGCAGCTGGCTTTGTGGTTGGGTGAGACATCTTCGAAGCTATTTCATCCGTCAAACCTGCAGAACAACGCGTTGGGGGCTGCTGATGCGTCCGACGTCCCACCCGTCCCAACCTTCAAACATCCGGCAAAGGAACACACATCAGCGTGTTATGAGCGCCCGGATGGTGTTAGAATTGCATGTAGTGACCAACAAGGCCACCAAAAATAAAGTATACAACTAGTGGAGCATCCTTCCAGACGAGTCTCTTTATCTAATCCATCAATGCACCAAAAGGGGCAAAATGATTGAGCGCACTTTTGTGCCCGACGCAAAGAAACTCTTCTTCATGATTGATAAAGTCCTTCCTCTCACGGCCAAAAAGACGCAAGACTGGTGCTTTGAGAACCCGTTCTTCTTCTGGGCATATAATGGTCAATCTGGGAATAGCCCAGACCTCAATTTGATCAAAAATATCCAGGCGACTCTTCAGGAGAGCGTCTAAGAGCTGCTAGTAGCCACCAATATCGATTGCCTCACCAGACAGCTCCAGGAGGCGTGGACTAAGCTTTGGCCAACAGAAGCCAACAGTGCTTGACATGCTCATGTCAATTACGCCTGAACGCCTTTGTCAGTGTATCGCACATAAATAGGAATATATGAAAAGATGAAATTTTCATGTCACCGCCGCTTTTTCCATTGCTATAAGACGAAAAAGTATGTTCGCGTAATTACTTTCCACCCTGTACACGAACCCCAAGTCTAACAGTCTGTCCTGTCCAGTAACAACCGATAACATTGATATCGACTGCCAGTCCCTGTACAAGAGCAGCTGAGGTTTCCTGTGAATACCTTCTGACAGTTTATCGTTGTTCCCTGTGAGGGTGCTGGGACAATTTACTCAGGGTCGCTGTACAGTAGCAACTGCGGGTTACTGTACTTATTTCAATCGCTGGTTTCAAATGAGGCTTAAATCTGTAAAATCGACACCGGCCGTGGTGTTGAATGGCGCCGTCGTCTCACCTGTTTGATAGGTTCGCTGACAGCTGGGAAGTGTGAGCGTCAAAACACGCCGTAACAGCCGGCGCAAACACTCGCTGACAGAGCTACTGACAGCCTCTGACGGAGCCGAGATGACAGGTGGGTGTGTGTGTAAGTCTATATAGGGGACCGAGCGGTGGCGCCCGCGGCCGCCCGCAGCACCGTCGCGCCGCGCCAGCTTCGCCACCATGGCTGGGGGGCACCACGTCGCGCTCCTCTGCTCTCTGATTATCGTCCTGGTCACCAGTGTCGACACCCGGTTCGCCGGCGGTGTGGATCCCGGTGAGCGATACTAGCGAGCAGCTACCGGGTGTACCCATTGTGTGGGTGGTGTCGTCTCCAGATAAAGAGACAGACAACGCTGGGCCCGCGCTCGGTGCTCTGCTATGTATTCTCCGACTCCGTCTGCTTGGGTCGGGTATTCCGTGGCGACTTCTGTCTAAAAAAGAATCAAAATCAAAAGGACGAGAGAGATGATAGCTGAAATTCCAAGGTGTAGTGACAGTAAATGGCTGGATATTTTTTCTTTGTCATTATTTGCAAAGCTTCTCGGGTATGATTTCTCTTGTCGGTGAATTATAAACGCTTGTGCTGCTTATCGTTTGTTTTTTCTCTCTTACCTTCGTCTGTCTGTTTTTCCGTCAGATAAGATAAAGGTATTCTTCACTAAAAAAGTATTTCTTTTTATCCTCGGTACAACAATGAGCACATGTGCCATTTCCAGGCTTTGCTCACTATCCACGAGACAAGTCTGACGGTTACGCGGCCAACGGCCTTCTCAAGCCCAGTGTGACGCCAAGTCAGCGCTCTGCCAAAGCCCTCCCCGGAGTAAAGGACAACGACCCAAAGTCGACCTCTTCAGCCGACGGACGCACACCGCTGCGTTTGACGCCAGAAAAGAGTGAGAGCTGCGACCGACACCGACTTAGAAAATGTGGCACACGCACTGTGCATCCAGACAGAGCCCGCGGTGGTCTGATGGCTAGAAACGGTTAGTGCGAAAGTGATGTCGGTATTCTTTGAATGTAATATATTGAATGTAATTTTTGAGTGTAATTGTGCGTCACAACAGGAATATCACGTGAATGCTCATAGTTTCCGATAAGATGACAATTTCTTCGAGCACAATACCACATATATTGTTCAGTCACGATATTTGAATCACCGGGTGAGCACAAAATAGCTCTACATAATGCTATACCTGAATAACTTTTGGTATTTATACCAAAAGTTCGTAGGTTCGTATTTGTACTTGTAATTTAGCATTTTTGGTATTTGTAAATGACTGATAAATATTAATTAACCTTGTATCTATGCAATTATGCGTTACACCTTTAGGATCACAATGCATCCTCATTTCAGCTCTGATGCCAAGAAGCCGTCCCGGGAGAGTCGTCTTCATCGATGCTTCAATGGCAGCCATCCCCAAAGGTAAGGTATCTTCTGCTGCTAGTCTCTACTTACTTCTCTACTTTAACAACAGACAAGTAATCGCCTGTATCTCCGCTGCGTTGTTGAACCAAACCCCCGCCGTCCAGTAGCTGGGACACGTAGCGTCAGACCCAGCGCCGGGTCGGGGCCGCCCGAGGCAGCCAATCAGCGGCCGGGAGTGAACACACCGCCGCGGGCGGTCTGCGGCCCGGATTGGACCAGCAGGCCCGGCAACAGCGGCGGCTGAGCTTAGCGTAGCAGGAGGGGACATTGGCAGCATCCCTTGTGTAGACTATAGAGACAAAGCAACATTTTGTAAATAAGCTCGATTTTATTTTATGGTAACAGGATCGTCACTAATTGTTTAAAGTTCGCGCACAAGTGTGTTTGCCTATGTAATTTGAGCATACGGCTTCAACGTTTTCCCCAGGGTTCAACATCCGCGGTCGTTTGCGGATCTCGCGGGACGCCGGCTTTTTCACGTCTGACCTCAGTCAGCTGTCTAACCAATGGCAGACGGTGGATGCCAAAAGGAACGCCGAATGTCCACAGAAGTGCTTGGAGGCTGGCTACTCCTATGCAGCAATGCAGACGCAGACAAACAGGTCAGTTCCGAAATGGTTACCACGCACTTTTCAGTTCGTTTCACAGAATGCATTTTTTTTTCATTGCAACACTAGACATCTGCGTATTTTACTGAACCAGCCTGTAACGTTTTTTTTTTCCGAACTGCTTCCACACAGAGCCCTTGTTTGAACTGCTCAGCTGCCTTTGTTGATTGCTGTGTTTCTCAAAGTATGACCGTGATACTACGATGCACACAGAGGCTGGTGCAAATGTGCTCGTCAGCTGAACAACATTGCGCAGGCTACTCGAAAAGAGGTGATGAGGGGTGACATCCAAGTGCTCAATCTTCAAGCAATCAAACAAAGAAGACTGCAAGGTTCGTAGAAGCTGATCAGTTGCAATACAGTGACGTATATACCTTCTGTTGACTGTTACTCCTTTACGTATCCTTCTATTTCATTTCGTTTTTAAGCACACAAGTGTGAAGTGAAGACATCATGTCCAACTATTTTTTTTTGTGTGTGTAGAAATATATTTTTAGAAAAGCTATTTTTAGGTCAGGCAGAACAGCATTAACAATCCATTTGATTCGTTTTCAGTCATCCAGCTGGCAAAACTTCACAGACAGGTGGCCATTGCTAGCTACAAAATCATCATAAAGAATCGTAAGTCGTCATTCGCTAAGGAATCATTTCATTTTACAATTCTCACCAAAATCATGCTGGGTTAATTTATGCTGAATTTGGTAGATGCCTGTGATCACACCAATATGGAACTGGAATGTACAGAAAGAAATCGTTAGGCACGCTTATAAATGCATATGTATAAGATTGCTTGAGAAACAAGTTTCATATATTGTTTCATATATTGTTTCATAAAGTCTCATATATTGGATTTGGAATCATTGAATTTTATTGACTGTGCCTCGCACGTTATTCCAGCGAAGTGGTACCGCTTTGTGACCGTGACTTCCGTGCCAAGCGCATACGGACTGCGGATCGGCATGACGAGATCCCCGTCAGTCTGCTTCAAACGCTGCGCTGCCAGCAGCTTCAACTACGCCTTCTACTCCGTGTAAGTCATCTGGAAAAGCTCCAAAGATTGATGTTACCAAGGTGAATCACGTGGATAGGGATGAAGGCTGTAAATGTGTTCAATGCGGTGGTAAGTAAGGTGGTAAAGGTGGTAAAAAGGTGGTAAAGTAAGGTTCTGTGAGTCGCTGGGCTGAGGGAGGGGGCACTCCTGGTCACCTATTAATGGGTGGCGGTGTAGTTAGAAAAAAAATGCTTCCGTCCCAACTCTGCTGTTCTGCCGTCTTGCCATGCAGACCTGCCAAGCCCGTTATCGGATCCATATTGTATAATACCTCACTGCTATACGATTTGTTTCCAGCTATGGCTGCTTCTGTTCCAACGATAAGAGCGACGTCAAAGTGATCCGACCTCAGTACCGCAGCCTGAAATATTTCGCTGCCGGAAGGACCTGTCTCTTCTACATTAGCAGAGTCAACAGGCTCAAGCCCTCAGGTAAGGGTAGTTGTGAGTATTTCTCGGTAGTCAATAAACACAGTGTGTAAAGCAAACGCATCGATGTCTAGCGTTATTAACAGCAATGTTCCAGGAAACTGTTTTATTAAAATATTGACGCATGCTGTAGCAGGGTATGCACGAGTTAAATGGATATAAACTGAAACGTATTGACTTAATGATCCACAGGAACAGCGGCAGTAATCAAAGGACGAAAGGGTTACCTTATCTTACGGTCTCCAAACGGTGAGTACTGGATAAGTAGTTGTGTCTATGCATGTCTTTACTGGGGTATGTCGTTGTAAAGTTACGACATTTTGACGCTTTTTGGACACATTAGTGAAACTATCTGCTTTCCAGTGCTTCTGGAAGCTACCCTTCCAAATATTTGTGATATTGTCCTGTTAAAAAAAAAAAACGTTTCACCCAGTCCAGTGCAATAACACTGGATGTGCGTTGTCTGTCAGGCCGGGTGCAGACGGGCCGCTTCATGGCCGCCAGTCTACTCCAGAGCCAGGCGTGGCGCCGTCTGCCGGCCGTGCCGCCCCTCTTCTGTCTCCAGATGTGTGCCCTCAGAGGGTACACGTACGCTGCCGTCGGCAACAGCGAAGATCCGTGAGTAGTGAAGCTTATATAGTTTGTAACATGTCTTGTTGCATGTATTTTGAAGTTCAAAATAATGCAGATAAAATTCAAATTTTAATAGCCACTCTTATAGCAGAAAGAAACGTCGAGAAAAGCTCCCAAGTTTTTTCAAGTTTTTCTTCTTCAGGACATTTCCCATGGCCTTAGCGACAAATGGAGCTAAAATGAGGCGGTAATTTTCCAGTGGCAGCCCTAGCAGATCTCTTGCTAGCACAATAATTAAAAATGCCTGCTATTTTTGCTCTCAGAACATGTGACTGCGCAAGAACTCCACCAACAAATTTGCTGTTCCGGGTGTGGAGAAGTGACAGCGACAAGCAAGTGTTTATGCTCAGCGGCCTTCCAAAAGCAGGTAAGGAGCCAGATTAGGCTGCATCGCTCAACACGGCCTATGTGCGCTCAAAGCCATTCAGACCTAAAATCATACTGCACAGAGAAACGGAGCAGGGATCGTCAAAACGTCTGAGAATGTTTGGGAGGCGCTGCATAATTGCGTGTGTCAGACGTGCTATGATTAAGGATTTAGAAGTGACTAGAACGCGGCTGGCACTTGCTTCATATTTTTTTTTTTTACTTCATTAACTTTGTAATTCGGTAATCCATGTGAGTGACAGCAGTAGTGCAGGTGCTCTAATATCTTTGTTTTGTTGCATTCCTAAATCCCTTTTAGCCGTAAGCATCTGGATTTGCCGGACTCCTCTATGACCGTGTAGGGCCCCTCAGTATATGACAGGAAGCTCGACGTCTGTTGAAAATGCTCACCATCGGCCATTCCGCCTACAGGAAAAATGACATCGGTAACCGTCATGAGAGGCAGTTTCCTCCAGTTTACTTTCTCGGGTGAGTTATCTCTCTCATCTTTTACCGATGTCAGAGCAAACTATTCCATCCGTTGACCTATTTCCGGTCTCTATCGACAGAATATCACTGTGTGTAACCAGACGAGTTGGCTGTTGGAAAGGCTTTTGGAAAGGGCTTTTCTGAGCGAAAGATGTTTTAAAACTCTGTTTTAATTGCCTTGCCAGCTGTTTGCTCCCAAATGTAATATTGTGCCTCTGCGGCTGACCATATCTGTCTCCTTGCAGGGACGTCGGCGGCTCGTCCGATCGTGCTCTACCTGAGGTCGGCTCCTCCTGCCGGCTGGACGTTCCGATTGCCATCAGGCGGAGACAGTTTCCCTCAAAAGTACCGGCTCCTCGCATACTGTCCACTCATGTGCAGAGCACAGGGCTTCCCGTACGCTGCCGTCCGCTTCCAGCCCGCGTAAGTAACGATTGCTCCTCAAATAACTCGTTATGTAAGCTCATACGTGCAACGATCGGTGCATCCCATTTGTACTAATTGGATGCAACATACATATGCAATATCGCAACGCGAGGATTAGCGTCAATACAGCATTAACTTGATTAAAACACGGGATACATTATCATCATTAACCGTTGATAATATTTTTGAAAGAGCGTCTACTTTCATAAACATGCTGGCAATTCACGTAGTTTTAGCGCATGTACTCGTAAAGTCAACCATTTTCCGTTCAGAAAGGTTGAAAAAGTCGGAAACCGAATCAGAATGCGTTGGCACTTCAAGGATGGTGTCCTCCGCAGCGAACTGGCGGGTAGGCTGTGCCGCAGTACACTACTGTGCGGCGGGCCAGCCCACCAGTGCCCTTAGTGCTGTAGCGCGTTTTCATGCCTCGTGCTGCCAATGTGATTTGCGAACAGTGAGTTAGTGGCACATGACATTCTATAGTGCGACTTTTGAATTTCCCAGAGATCTTGGGTTTCGGATAGCTCTTACATATGCATGACCGTATAAAGAAGAAGTCTTCAACCACAAATAAACTTGCGATAACGTTGGATATAAATTTTATTCACGATGTCAACAAGTATCAAATGGGCTACAGCGCTGGTAGGCTGACCCGCCGCACAGTGATGCACTGCGGCACAGCCTACCCGCCAGTCGTCCGTCCGGACATCAGCCGGCGCATCACAGTGATGCAAATGGGGTTCACGAGTGGCCATAAATACCCAAAAGTCAAGTTTACCAAATCGGGTTAATTGCGACATGGCCGAGTAGACAAATGTTTGGGGCATCTGAAATCACATGGTTTTCATGTTTTTGTCAAAACCGGCCTCGTGTATAATCGTCAGAAGTCGTGACATTTTCTAGGTCGTAAAATGACGGTCAGACACTCGCAAGTTCAAACGCCGCTGGTTTGCGTTCATTTCGTACAAATTGAAAAAATTATGCATGGGAATGATCCCCAAAGCCTTCTGCTTCTAATGCTGGGTCACAAAAAGCCGTATCTCATTCGCTTTGGTGGTAATCTGACTATTTATCATCATGTTGCAATCGCAGTTTTTTACTAAGAAAAAAATGCTTTCGTTTCACCTACAGCACTTAACACAGTGTGTGCCCGTTAGTCCACCATACCATAGCCTTCCCTAATCATTTCTGAGTCACATCGTGAAAGAATTAAGGCGCTAACACAGGGCTGACTGGCGCTACAGAGGTTTTTGTCCGGGCGGTCGGGTGCCGCAGTGGGCGCGCAGTGGGCGGGTGGGTGCCGCCGCGCGGCGTCCGGGCGGCACGGCGGCGCGGCCGCCCGGGCCGCCCGCTGCGCCGCAGCACCCGACCGTGCCGGACGAAAACTTCTGTAGCGCCGGTCAGCCCTGTGCTAGCGCCTTAATTCTTTCACGATGCGACTCAGAAATGAATAGGGAATGCTATGATATGGTGCACTAGTGGGCACACACTGTGTGAAGTGCTGTAGGTTAATTGAAAGCAAATATTTTTGGTAAAAAACTGCGGTTGCAACATGATTACAAATAGTTAGCTCACCGCCATACCAAAATAGATACGGCTTTGTATGACGTGGCATTAGAAGCAGCAGGTTTCGGGGATCATTTTCATGTATAATTTTTGCAGTTTTTATGACATGAACGCACGCTAGCGGCACTTGAATTTCAAGTACCTGACAGTCATTTTACGACATCGAAAATGTCTCGACTTCTGACAATCCTACGAGGCCGGTTTTGACAAAAACATTAAAATCATACTTTTTCAGGCACCCCAAACATTTGCCTGACTGACCATATTACGATTCATTCGATTAAGTGAACTTAAATTTTGGGCCTTTTTCGTATTTATGGCCACTCGTGAACCCCATTTGCATCACTGTGCGCATGAGGCTGGGAGTTTACTGAGTGTGTCCGACTTATAAGCACTGAGATCCGAAGATTGTGTATAAGTTTGTGGATATCCATGCCCCATGTTTATTTCGCATGCTTGAAACTGTCCATATGCTTAAGCTGTTTGCAAATAACCTAAAAGATGCTCTAATCTGGAAGTGGCTTTTCTCGATAAGGTGTCAGCTTGTTTCTCTCTCGTCTTCAGTCTCCATTTTTAGTGTCAAGTGACTGCTACGTTTTCCAAAAGCGTGTATTTCTGTATGTGACGGTAGTGTCGTGCAGTGTAGTGTTCCGCAGTGTAATTAGTGAGCCTGGGACCTCCTCCTTACTGTTATGTTTGCCGACAGCGGGTGCTCGTGTCTGGGCCCGGCCGAGGTGGACGCCGTGCGTTCCGACACCAGCAGCTCTCCTGACGGCGCCTCACCAGACAGCACCATCCAGATCATACAGCTCGGATCGCTCCAGGGTTCTGCCTTCCCCAAAGGTGAAGGACGTTCATTTGACATATTGCATTCACATTACCACGGAGACTGAAAAATACGTACACAAAACGGGAGTTCATGCCGGTCAATCAACTGGTGTAGGGGTGAAGGACGTGGGCACTCTGTAAGCGTAGGTGGGTATTTTCATTTTTTATGCATTGCATAATGCAGACGTGTATGTAGTTGAGAGGTTCTAGTGCATCCGCTTTTGGTCGTCCTGCTCTCCTCTCCTGAGTGAGCGGCTACGAGTAACCCTAGAAGATGAGTAGGCATCTACGAGCGTGAGCTGAGCAAACTTCAGTTAACCCGCGAGTTGCTGGGGGGGGGGCGTTAAACGCCCCCACTTTTTTCGCCGGGCCATAGCATAAAAACGGCGCGCCGCAGGCGCGCCAAATTTCGGGTACCTGTAGGGAATTGATTGAAGTTTATTGTGACAAAGTTTAAAAAAAATCGGTCAGAAAATTTTTGAGATATCGAGGTTTTAGTGACGTCATGATTTCTGAGTTTTCGACCAAAAACGGCATATGTTCAAAAAATCATATAAAATCACAGAATAGAGATATAGACATGCCGTAAACGCCATTAGACTGCCAATACCATGGTCAATCAAATGGCTATCTTCGATTATTGATTATCGTTCCGCATTTTCCATAATCTTGAACTGAATCTTGGCAATTTTTCGTGACTCCTTCACGACCATGATACATGAATTTCTTAAATTTAACTTTTTGAGCCAAACACGTACACATATGATAAAATGAATGTCACCATCGTGTTCTACGCCCCAAATTACCCATAAAACATGTGTCACAGGCTGCGAATATCAGTTTTGATTTTCGGGGATATGTGCCTACCCGGTTGACCTGACCTTGACCCTGACCTATGCTTGACTGACCCCTACATGGAGCTGACACTCTTGTAGGCCTTATTAGATGGATTGTGCACCGTTTTCACAGCGTTTATGGCGAGAGGCGCCCATTGCGAAGTCCTGAAGTCCATGCCACTGAAAGCCCGATTTCAGGCGTTTGACCTGACCTTGACCTGACCTGTGACCTCAAAATTCGACTTTAAAATACTCATCTGAAGCGTCTCGTCGCGCTCTTTCGTTTGCCGCCTCGTGCGTTTCGCTGCGCCTATTGGTTCTCGAGTTATCGGCTGGGGGCGTTTAACGCCCCCCCCCCAGCAAACGGTGGGTGGCGAAATACCCCAGCAACTGCCGGGTTAAGTAACTGTGAAGGGTTTAATGGCTGACGAGTGTTTATCGTCGTGAGGCACTCTTTGCAAAACACTCGGCGCAGATGCAGGAAAAGGTGGTGATCATTAAGTGATCGCTGTACCTCCGTCGGCGTCCTGTTGCAGAGCTGCTGGTGCTCGGCCGAACTTCCAGCGGGGATCAGTGGTCTTTCAGTCCCCGATGGATCACCATCTCCATCAGACTCGGAGCTGGCTTACAGGGCTCGCTGGAATTGGAGGGGCAGACGAGATCTGTCAGCGGTACGTAGCTCAACCAATATGCCGTGACCACACTGTCAGCAGTATTTACTATGTAGCTGTATATACAGGGATGATGGACCTTTACTTAATATCATAACACGTTAATGTAAAATATCATCTAAATCAATATAATATAAATATTTAGATGTTTTTTATCATAACACAAGTACAATGATTCAAAGCGAGAGATGAGATACTCTTTACTTCGAACAGCGGTCTTATGGCCTTGGGTCTTATCATATTTTATATACTATCCACGCCTAAAAGAAATTACTTAACCGCTGCATGTTGTTTTTCGGCAGTGCTTGCTTCTGGTATCCCAATCAAGACTCCTCCCGTTTTCATCGATGCTGGGGCGGCATTCGTTCCAAAAGGTACGTCTTTGTACGTTTTGTGGAAGTGCTCGTCTGGCCACCATTTCCTGGCTACTTATTACGTCTCGTGTGTTGTGATTTTAGGTTTAAAAGAACAACGGGTCAAAAGTTGAATGCCTAATAAATTTTCGCCGCTTTGTTTTAGTTCATTGTTGTCCTTCTTTGGTTTCTATTAATAATAAAAAACATAAGATATGCGTGATTACTATTCACTGTAAAAACTGCGCCTAACGACAGCTTTCAATAACAATTTTCAATCACTCTGATCGTATTTCCTCAGGGTTCAACATCCGCGGTCGTCTGCGGATCTCGCGGGACGCCGGCTTTTTCACGTCTGACCTCAGTCAGCTGTCTGGCCAGTGGCAGACGGTGGACGCCAGAAGGAACGCCGAATGTCCGCAGAAGTGCTTGGAGGCTGGGTTCTCCTATGCAGCGATGCAGACGCAGACAAAGAGGTAAGCTTAAATTGTTACAAGGAGGACCAGTGCATGCGTTCGTACCAAATAAGCCACCTATGGAAAATTGTTCCACTGTTCGAAATTATCGTGTTGTATTTTCCAATCCACATATCAATGCTTACTGTTGGACGTTTTCAGCTCATATTCCTAGTTACGAAAAACATCGAATGAAAAAATTACCGAATATAAATACATTCCACATGTCTCCTCGTCGGCCCGCCGCTGAAAATCTTGACTCGTGGCCAAAACTCGCGGCGGTCACGGGACAGTCCACCCGCTGGCTGCGGGCGACCTTGACCTCCGACCAGTGAATCCTTAAAGACTCTCGCCATTTTAGCCCTATTCATTCTGTTTGACAATAGCAATGCCCCAATAACAATACCACGATATGAATTCTACAATTCGTCATCCATAAATCAATTGACAATTTAATGCTAGCTAACGTCTTTTTCAGAGGCTGGTGCAAGTGTGCTTTGCAGCTGCAAAATATAGACAAATACGCCAGGAGAGATAGCGTAAAAACAGGGGACATTCAAGTGATCAGTCTACGGCGTATAGGAGAGAAACAACTTCAAGGTAGGTCAACTGGCCGTACCTAATGGATAGTGTATTTAATGGCTCAATGTTGCACAATAAATCACTAACATATGTTATGAGCTTTTCCACGAATTTAAAAACTGGAGGAACTGTGCTCCCGTTGTTTGCTGTCTCACGGCCCACGTCATATTCCACAGTCGCGAGGCTGGCTGAGTTACACAGACAGGCCGCGATCAAGGCCTACAAAATGATCATGCAGAATCGTAAGTTATTTCTGACATCTCCCGTAGATGACATCAATAATTTGGCTTTTCCGCTCAAGTAAACGTCATTTTTTAGGCTGTAGCAAACCGGCTGTATTTATTGAAAGAAGTTTATGAATATTAAATACCAATAAGCTTCAATACTTATACCTAAATATAGCATGAGCTGTGAATGACGCTGATTACTTTAAACTAAAGATACAATTTTCGCACTGTGATATGTTAATCGGCGGAAAGAATTGTTTCACAGCAATAATGTAAAACGTTTGTAACAAAGTAAATGTGTATGTTTTCAGCTAAATGGTACCGTCAAGTGACCGTCGTGTCTGTGCCGAGGACGTACGGACAGAACATAGGCATTGCCAGCAACCCGGCGTCCTGCTTCAAGGGCTGCGCCACGAGCAACTTCAACTACGCCTTCTACACAGTGTAAGATGAGATTACTATTGTCTACCATGCGTTTAATGTGTTTAATGCGTATTTTTACATGCATGAACAGCAGCCCATGCTAATAAGAGATGCGGTGATAGTTATATGGAAGTGTTAACTGTTATTAGGCATATACAGCAGAGACATGTCTATGCTGCGTCGTTCACTAACACCACATGACGTGGCATGCCTGTTGAGGAGATCATTTTGAACGTTAAATGAGATAGGCTGGTTGGTCGTATTTACTTTTATAATACAATCGCACGTTGTCCACAGTTATGGCTGCCTGTGCTCCAACGACAAGAGCGACGTTAAAGTGGTCCGGCCCCGGTACCGTAGCCTGAAATATTTCGCCGCTGGAAGGACCTCTCTCTTCTACATCGGCCGGGTCAACAGGCTCAAACCTTCAGGTGTGTCATGAATTGATAGTACGACTGGCAGCAGACTGATATATGTAGTTCCATACTTGCCAATCCGCGAGGAGGGAGGCATGTGTCTGGCATATAGTAAATTAAGTGCATTGTTTTTTTTTTTTTTTTTTTTTTTTTACAAATGTATGCCGAGCCGTTCGGTTTGTTGTCCACGTTCGTTTCGTGTCGAGTTGCATATATTTGGTTAACATATTCTTTGTTTAATTTCCAGGAAATGTGAACATTTACGAAGGGCCAAATGGCTTCATCGTCGCACAGTCTTTGAAAGGTACGTAGAAAAAGCTTCTTGATTTCATGGGGTTGATGTAATATTGCCAAAGACGTTATTCAAAAGCCATATTGGAAGGTATTTCTGGTATAATGAAGCCCGAGGATCGTGTTGGTCCCAATAGATTATGTACGAATGGTGTATACCTTATCTGTTATAAGGTCTATCGCCTTTTGTGTTTGAAAATACACACCGCTGATGTCTTTTGTGCGTTGTCTGTCAGGCCGGGTGCAGACGGGCCGCTTCATGGCCGCCAGTCTGCTCCAGAGCCAGGCGTGGCGCCGTCTGCCGGCCGTGCCGCCCCTCTTCTGTCTCCAGATGTGTGCCCTCAGAGGCTACACGTACGCCGCCGTCGGCAACAGCCAAGACCCGTGAGTAGCGAGTCCATGCGAGCGTTGGCATTTGTATGTGGTGTGAAGGTGGCACCGACCGATGCCTTCAATCAGCTACTGCCATCCGGTCTTGGACCCGAGCGCTGCAACCGATAATGCATCCGTCGCGGACTTGCCGTGCTGTTGGGTTTATGCCTCAACATATGTCATCAAGCAGAACTTTGTGTCTGTTTTTTCCAGACCATATGCTACGAAACCTACTCCAAAACGATAAGAACATGAGCTAACTAGGTAGGTAGATAACTCAGTACTTTATTTTTCAGTACATGTGACTGCTCAAAACGATCTCCAAACGAAGCAGATCTCTTCCGAACGGCGAAGAGCGACAGCGACAGACAAGTGTTCTTCCTGAAGGGACTGCCGAGGATAGGTGATGAAGTTTATAGATTTAGCAATTTCAAGTGTAAAATTCTTTAAAAAACAGTTTCATGATCATTGTCAATGTTCAGTTACGGTGCTTATGTCACATGCTAGCCGTGAGGACATTAAAAACTCTATTTTTATGAAGTGAGGCTGGTCTTTAAGACGATTTTGGCATGGAATGAGAAAGCAGTTTTGCAGAAAACTTAGCATGAGTCTTGAGCAAGCCATGATAAATGTTTTTTATCTGCACCGTCCTTTTATTTCACGGTCATGCACACCGACAAAGGTCCCGCCTTTCAACCGCGCCTTGTGACCTGTAAGGTCTCAACAGAAGTTTGCTAATTGTACCTTGGCTGCATTTCCAGGAAAAATGAGCCTAGTCTACGTAACAGAGAACAGCTTCCTGCAATTCATATTCTCCGGTAAGTTGTCACTGCTATCGCATGGCCTTGATTGTATGTACTCAGATGCAGTTTGATAACGGGTCGCCTTCCGTTCTGACCAGGGGTGGATAATTGTGCCGAGTTGGGGCAGAACGAGTCTTCCTAATTCAATGCCGGCTGCGCCGGCTTGGCTTTGGAACCGCACCAGACGGCGGAGGTCAAGGTCACTGCTAGGGCGGCGGCGGATTTGCTGCGCCCGTGCAACCTCAACTCGGCATATTTCTCCACCCCTGGTTCTGACTTCTAGGCGGCTGCCGGCTGGGATTGAACCATTGTGATTAACTGATTCGTTTCTGTCTGGGGAGAGGAGTCTACTCCTCTGCGGTTGTCTTCCTCTTACTACCTCTGTGTTGAGATATTCTGGCTGGTAAGTGGACTGTATGTGTACCTACTGTGTCTGAAAAAACGTTGGCCGAATTACGTTAGATAATAGATATGGTATGACGGCCGCTAGGCCGGTCGAGGCCCTCTCCCAGATGCAATATGACACGAGTTAATTGTATTCACCGTGAGCACCACGGTAGAGAAGAACAAGATATACGGTGCCAAAAATTAACAATGCACAACGAGGAACTATAATGCCCAATAATCAAGATCGATATGCCCAGATATGTTCAATATGCCCAAAGTTATAAGTTTGTGGGGGACAAGTTAATTCGGACGGACACCAGAGTGCAATGGAGTCACCCGCGGATGACTCCGTCTGGTGTGGTGTCGGGGTGCACTGAGTCGGCAGCGAGTCCGAACCCACCCGTCACCAGAGACGCGTCGTCCCGTCAGAGCCCGTGTGCAAGGGTCGGCAATCTAGGCCGTACCTACGGGGTGGCGTTCCGAGCGCGACTGGTCTCCGTCCGGCGCGGCCGCCTCCGAGGTCGGCTGGGCCGCGCCCCGGGCTATCGGCCGGCCGGCACACACCGCTCGGGCCGCCTGACCGCCCGGTCAGTGAGTGACGTCACGAGCGGCGGCCAGAATAGCGGGCGCGCTTACATCTAACAATAAACAACAGGGGCTGAGTCGCTGACAACAAGTAACATTCTCCCCATCTTGAAATGCACGCTGCATTTCAACAACTTCCACACAAACAAAATTAAACATCTTCTCATAGGTACTCAAAAGAGAAGTCAGGCACTCCCCATCGTATCACATCCCACTACCACTCGGTTGGTCCGTACGTGGGTCCATCGCCATCACGATCGCACTGACGTCGGTGTCGCTTACGCCTCTGGTTTAAGCGTCAGCCACACCGGGAATGATCCAGCGTCCGCCACCTTTTCATAGCCGTCCCGATTTAAATGGATGCCGTCTTGCTGGTACCACCGGTCGCAGCCCATAAGGCCATGGCGTTTGCGTCCCATCTTGCGGGTTAAGGCCCGCCCCAGTGGCAAGACACGGGCGACCGGGTCCAGCTGGGCCTTGAGGAGTGTCCGCTCCAGATGGTAGGCAGCGGTGGCCTCCCCATCAACCAGCTCCAGAGCTGACATGGCGAAGTGGTCAGAGTCTGATGGCAAACAAAACACTCTGTCAGCTGTGTGACACAGGTGGGTCAAGCAAACAAAACACTCTGTCAGATGTGCGACACAAGGTGGGTCAAGCAGTGGGCATCAGACAAATTAATCCATGGGCATTTGTAAGGGAAAATCGGTAACGATAGTCGGCAGCGATGCCGAGCTGTAAAGGCAACGATGTGAGTCATATAAGTGGGCAATATAAGTTCTGAGAGCGGCATATTTCAAATAGCTGTGATTTACATAAGCGGAGAGCTATCTCCGTCTCGAGTCACTCCATCTCTCGCTGCCATTTGCTCAGTGCATGGATTACAACAGCGTCAGGCGGGTGACCATTAGGCCGCTGCAGGTAGCTTTAAGAGGAGGTTTTGACCGGTATCCAAGTAGTCATTAAGACCGATACCCGTGCCGTCCTCTTCCGAGCCATCAAAGACTATCCGAAGCTTCCCATTGCGGTGGAGTCCACGATGTGGAAGATAAAATGCGTGCGAAGGGTCGTTTTCAGTCTTCAACGCTTGGGTCGGCGCGGTGACTATCCCGTCGCCAGTCCCAGGCTGGTTTGGGCCTGCTGATGCTATTGTAGCCGCCCGGTCACGACTCTTCTCACACACAGTGCCAAAAGATTGACTGTGAGTGTTGGACTCTTCTTTTGACTCAGGTGGACTCACTGTGGGCTCCCCACCGTGACAGTTGTTCCTGGGTGGCACCTCATTGGAACTGTAATCGAATGGTGGTATGGGTTCAGTGATAGAACTTGCCAACAAGTCAGTGAGTTGGGTCTCGTACTGGACAACAGCCTCTTCACCTAGTCTGTCCTTCATACGGGATGTGCGCGCCTTTGTAGCGTCAAAGTTGGAGATTGGTCTGGCATCTGACCTCCACGTCAGCCCCATCTGGTACCGTCCTTCTGATTCGTTCCACGTCGGCTTGGGTAGATCAGGTTCTGCGACGGCGTCTTTCTCTGGTATGATTCCGATGGTTTCAAGATCCCACATCTTCTCCATGCAGAGACCATGGAAGGTGTGACGGTCTGACTGGTCTGAGCGGTGGTCTCGGTGGTGGCCGTGCAGCACGTAACCAAAGACAGTGTCGATGGCTCGAAGTCTTTCGTCAAGTTCGATCTGATCCCAGAGGACAACGTCGTACAGTTGGTCAATGCCGATGAGTATGTCGACTGGTCCACTTCTGAAGTCATCAGCCATCTTTTCGGGTAGCTGAAGAGAGTTGGGATAGTCGCTGCTGGATGACAGCGCTGAGCAGAGCCGATCTGTACTGTATAGCTCAAGTTGTACTGGGTCGTCTCCGAATCGGCTTTGCAGGTTGATCTGGACTCGGTGGTATGGCCGAGGCTCTTCCAGCTTTTCCTGAAAACCCACACATGCGAATGTGTCAGTTCTCAGGATCGGAAGACCGAGATCCTCTGCCAGAGATGTCCTTACATAAGAGGTGTCTGACCCGCCATCCAATAGCACTCGTACCAGCCGGTGTCCTTTCGGGCCTGAAGCTTTTACCAGGGCGGTTTGGAAGAACTGATTGTTGTGCCGGCTGATGGCATTGTAGCGACAGCTTCGTGGTGTTGAGTTCAGGTCAGTCCTTTGAGCTGAGTCGACTGTTGGGCTGGTTGCAACCATTGATGGCTGAGGAGATGAAGACGGGAATGCATGGGGAGCTATCCCCGTTACACTCTTTGGGATTTGAGGAGGTGGAGACGGGAATGCATAGGGAGCTATCCCCGATGCCGAAGGTGCTGCTGATGTCTCCCGTTCCCCGCGATGTAGAGATGAGTGATGATGCTCCTGACACAGTGGACATCGTCTGCTCTGACAGTCACGAACTCGATGAGGTCCAAGGCACTGGAAGCAGAGTCCAGCCCTCTTCACGACGCTCCATCGATCCTCTGGTTTCATTCGGTGGTACTGGTCGCATTTTGCAAGGCCATGTTGTCCCTGTCCACACGCTTGGCACCTCCATTTAGGCTTAGTCACCATCTGAACCCGTTGAGAACTCAGCGTGCTAGTAGCTGACTTAGTGGGTGACTGGTGAGAACTTTCTGCATGGTTTGGCTTTCCCCTCTGACATGGGACCTGGGAGGCCTCTTCACGCAAGTTCATCTCCTCGTGGAGGTAGATTATGAAGCGGGAGAACTCTGATGACCCGTCCTCAGTAGGGGCTGTTTTACGAGATCTGGCCCACTGCATCCTCCATGTCTCAGGGATTTTGCCCTTCATCACCGGTAGAAGCAGCTCGCCATAAGAATCAGAGGGCGTGTCGAGGGCGTCCAGTGCTCGAACGTTTGCGGTGAGGTCGTCTATGAGACGCCGCAACCCTCTCAGGTCATCAGGATTGGACACGGCAGGCAGAGCAAGCAAATTTGCCATCAGTGTGTCCTTGCTGATACCGTCCTTTCCGAATCGGTCTCTGAGAATGTCAATAGCTACCTGGTAGTTTTTGTCGGTTGTGGCGAGTCCCTGAATGGACCTGGCGGCTTCTCCCGTCAAGTGTCCTCTCAGAAAGACGAACTTTTCAATGTTGGAATAGCTAGCATTGCGGTGGACCGCAGATGCATAGAGCTCCCAGAATTCAGGCCAGGCAAGCAGGTCGCCGCTGTATTTAGGGAGGTGTAGGTCAAGTTTGAAACTGCCGCGCTGATCCACACTGGGCTGAGGTGTGTCTGTCTTATCCAGTCTTTCCAGACGCCTTTTGGATTTGAAGATCGCTTCTTCAAGCTCAGAAACGTGGCTAGAGTCATCGGGGACCTCATACTGTTGTAAGGCCTCTCCTAGCTGCTCCAGCGTCGATAGCTGTTTCTCGCCTAGGTGTATCAGGTAAGCAAGGTCGTCGGAATCAACATCAGACGCCTGGTACGCGGCTTTCAGCTTATGAAGACCTTTGGTCGCCTTGGCTCGCTCTCTGGACCGATTTTGTTTCAACGTCTCGACCTTTTGTGCCTCCGACATGGCTCCGCTATTCGATATGGGTTATGGAAAATGATAACCGAAACAACAAACCTAGACCAAAGGATTTGAAATGCTACGCTATTGGTAATAGGAGAAAACAATAGCCGATAAGACAAAGCTAAACCATAGGATACAGTTATCCGGCCCCTGGAGGACTATGTTGAGATATTCTGGCTGGTAAGTGGACTGTATGTGTACCTACTGTGTCTGAAAAAACGTTGGCCGAATTACGTTAGATAATAGATATGGTATGACGGCCGCTAGGCCGGTCGAGGCCCTCTCCCAGATGCAATATGACACGAGTTAATTGTATTCACCGTGAGCACCACGGTAGAGAAGAACAAGATATACGGTGCCAAAAATTAACAATGCACAACGAGGAACTATAATGCCCAATAATCAAGATCGATATGCCCAGATATGTTCAATATGCCCAGAGTTATAAGTTTGTGGGGGACAAGTTAATTCGGACGGACACCAGAGTGCAATGGAGTCACCCGCGGATGACTCCGTCTGGTGTGGTGTCGGGGTGCACTGAGTCGGCAGCGAGTCCGAACCCACCCGTCACCAGAGACGCGTCGTCCCGTCAGAGCCCGTGTGCAAGGGTCGGCAATCTAGGCCGTACCTACGGGGTGGCGTTCCGAGCGCGACTGGTCTCCGTCCGGCGCGGCCGCCTCCGAGGTCGGCTGGGCCGCGCCCCGGGCTATCGGCCGGCCGGCACACACCGCTCGGGCCGCCTGACCGCCCGGTCAGTGAGTGACGTCACGAGCGGCGGCCAGAATAGCGGGCGCGCTTACATCTAACAATAAACAACAGGGGCTGAGTCGCTGACAACAAGTAACACTCTGTCTCCCTGCAGGGACGTCGGCGGCTCGTCCGATCGTGCTCTACCTTAGGTCGGCGCCTCCTGCCGGCTGGACGTTCCGATTGCCATCAGGCGGAGACAGTTTCCCTCAGAAGTACCGGCTCCTCGCATACTGTCCACTCATGTGCAGAGCACAGGGCTTCCCGTACGCTGCCGTCCGCTTCCAGCCCGCGTAAGTAGTTATCAACGGTTATGAAAATTCACTTTCGCATAACTATGTGGCAGTACCACTTCTACCAACCGGATGCCATTTTGATAAACAATTACATAATAGGGCCGCAACCAAGCACCAATCTCGCACGTGATTACGGGCAATCGATGCAATCAAATCAGCAACATATATTATAAGAACCATTGAGAAATGAACAGAGCAGAACAGCCACCGGGTCGCTCAAGCCCGAGCGTTACTTACAGTAGCGATGGTAGGCTGACCCGCCATACAGTAGTGTATTGCGGTACAGTCTACCCGCCAGTCCGCTCCGGAAGACGCATGGCCGAATGGTGTCCGTTAGAGCGGTTGAGAGCTGGGGCGTTCCACGACAAATCGACAAGTGCCCTGCACCCTCATATTTTATTTTTTGCTTAAAATTGGTCTAATGGGTTGTGATGGGCGGGGAAGCCAGCTGTGGCAAGGATTTTTTTCTTCGAACAACGGTTTCCGAGATATAGCCTCGGGCAATTCTTGGAGTTCGCGCTGCAGCCCTATGTTTGGCGGCCTATAACTCAGAAACTATTGGTTTTAACGATAAAAACTTCATATGGTTCAACTCAAAATCAACCAACAAACATTTTGGCTATCTCGGACTTCCAATTTTTGAAAATTTTGATCACGTGACCTTTTGTCCTATTTTTCGAAGAGTGACCTTGATATTTTCCCCATTGAAAGTTGCAATTTTGTCTGATGACGATTAAAGCCTTATCAATTGTCATTCATATGCGATAATAAAAAAAGCGGTTATCGCCCTGCGTTGACCTCAGGTCAGGTCATTTTTATGACCTGTCAATTTTTACGAGCGGGAGCGACAGCGAGATCTCGAGAATGAAGCAAGATAGCGACAAGCGGTAAACGGTAAAGGGTACACACGGATAAGGTCTATAATTTTTACTGAGGTCATTTTCAGGTCAGGTCAAAGATGACGTCACAGGAGCTAAAAGGAAGTCAAAATAGCGGCACTATACATATATATGAAGTTTTTCTCGAATAACTTTCAAGGTATCCCAGCTAGGAACAAACTAACAGCACCATCGTGATCCTCTCGTCGATCCGCATCGAAACATATGCATGTTAACCTCGAAAGATCGAAAGGTCAAAAGTTGACCTTAGGTCACGTGATCTACGGTCAACTTTTGACCTTTCGACCTTTCGAGGTCAACATACATATGTTTCGATGCGGATCGACGAGAGGATCACGATGGTGCTATTAGTTTGTTCCTAGCTGGGATACCTTGAAAGTTATTCGAGAAAAACTTCATATATATGTATAGTGCCGCTATTTTGACTTCCTTTTAGCTCCTGCGACGTCATCTTTGACCTGACCTGAAAATGACCCGAGTAAAAATTATAGACTTTATCCGTGTGTACCCTTTACCGTTTACCGCTTGTCGCTAGCTTGCTTTATTCTCGAGATCTCGCTGTCGATCCCGCTCGTAATAATGGACAGGTCATAAAAATGACCTGACCTGAGGTCAACGCAGGGCGATAACCACTTTTTTATTATCGCATATGAATGACAATTGATAAGGCTTTAGTCGTCATCAGACAAAGTTGCAACTTTCAGTGGGGAAAATATCAAGGTCACTCTTCGAAAAATAGGACAAAAGGTCACGTGACCAAAATTTTCAAAAAATGAAAATCCGAGATAGCCAAAATGTTTGTTGGTTGATTGTGAGTTGAACCATATAAAGTTTTTATCGTAAAAAAACAATAGTTTCTGAGTTATAGGCCGCCAAACATAGGGCTGCAGCGCGAACTCCAGGAATTGCCCGAGGCTATATCTCGGAAACCGTTGTTCGAAGAAAAAAATCCTTGGCACAGCTGGCTTCCCCGCCCATCACAACCCCTTACACCAGTTTTCAACGAAGAATAAAATATGAGGGTGCAAATTTAATTTTTTATTTGTCGATTTGTCGTGGAACGCCCCAGCTGTATAATGTAACCGTATGTAAGTACATCTTGGGCGATTGCGTAATTGTGTCCGGATTTCTGACATGAGGCAGCTAAAATGTCCCACTGTTTAAAGCTGTTTTAGTGTCGGTCGGTGTATTGTAGTTAATCGAATGGTATGTTGACAGCGGGTGCTCGTGTCTGGGCCCGGCCGAGGTGGACGCCGTGCGTTCCGACACCAGCAGCTCTCCTGACGGCGCCTCACCAGACAACACCATCCAGATCATACAGCTCGGATCGCTCCAAGGCGCTGCTATTCCCAAAGGTTCGCTCTGTCTGTTCGGGTACCTTGTGTCACTGCTGTCTGTTATTGCTTCCATGATTCCTATGATTCTCCGCCGCACCACCTACCATAGTTTTTTAATAGCGTGTACGTACATGCATCTTGGCTCGCATTGAATCTGGCTATATTTCTGATGATATTTCTTCTGTAATTTAGGTACCCTAAGCTATTCAATATACAGGGTGGGCCAAAAAAAGTGTGTCACTTTTCAGCAGCTATTTCTCGAAAGTGGTAAGAGATACCAAAAAGAAACTTTCACAACTTAAAGAAAATCGTTTGACAAATTATATGATACCCATTTTATGAAAAAGTTTCAGTTGAATTGATGTTGCCATCGCCATTTCAAAAATGGGATATGTGCGTCTTTTATGTTTGCGCATGTGCTCGAAGTTGGCACCTCAACGCTCAAGGCATATCTGAACATGCTCCAGGAAACTGGCGCCCACCCTCTCCGCGGTGCCTGCTGGCACAACACGCGCGTACTGCTCGACGCTGAGACGCAGCTCCTCCAGGCTACCGGGCTTGTTGTGGTAGACGCGGTAGACGCTGTCGCTGTCCTTGCAGGCTCCCCAAAGCCAGTAATCCAGCGGGTTGAGGTCAGGACTGTGAGGAGCCCACTGCCTTTCGCTTCCCTTGGTGATCACGCTACAAGCTTTGTTCACGCAAGATGTAGCGCCACCACACACGGCCCGAGAGACTATGCAGCTGCTCCAAGAGCTCTTCGGTTACCGCGTGATCTCCAAGGGAAGCGAACAGCAGTGGGCTCCTCAGTCTTCACAGTCCTGACCTTAACCCGCTGGACTACTGGTTTTGGTAAGCCTGCAAGGACAGCGACTATCGCAACAAGCCCGGTAGCCTGGAGGAGCTGCGTGTCAGCGTGGTCAATACGTGCGTGAAACCGCGGAGAGGGTGAGCGTCAGCTTCTGGAGCGCGTTTCCGGATGGCCTTCAGCTTAGCGGTGCCCACTTCGAGCACATGCGCAAATGAAGAGACGCACAGATCCCATTTTTTGAAATGATGATGACGTCAGTTCGATTGAAACTTTTCCATAAAATTGGTATGATACAGTTTGTCAAACGGGTTTGTTTAAGTTGTGAAAGTTTCTATTTCGTATCTTTTACCACTTTCGAGAAATAACTGCTCAAAAGTGACACACTTTTTTTGGCCCACCCTGACGAATGATTTCAGATATTTTCTTTAAGAACGAGAGGTTATTTAGAATAATGAGAGACCAGTTAAATGACCCATATCTCTTTTGGTGTTCTCCTACAGAATTACTGGTGCTGGACCGAACTGCCAGCGGGGGTCAGTGGTCATTCAATCCCAGATGGATCACCATCTCCATCAGGCTCGGAGCTGGCTCAAAGGACTTCCTAAACTTGAAGGGACTGACGGGGACTTATGATGGTACGTACATACGCCTCTTTTTTGCCTGTCCATTTGTTTGTCTATGTATCCGTCAATACGACACGATTTGCGAAAGTTCTCAATAAACTGATAAAACCAGCGAGGTTTTGCCGTTTAATGATTGAGGCAATGATTATTACGGAGCGAGCGAAGCGAGCGGAGTCTTACGTAGAATAACGGAAATTTCTGAGCATGAGCGGCCGGCCGGCCGGCCGGCCGTGGTCACGATTCTACGACGCTTATATCTCAGCAACCACTTGACCGATTTACATGCGGTAATTTTTGTAGGGTAGCTTCATTCCTTCTACCAAGTATTGGACTATTCCCGATGCATGTGGGTGACCCCTTATGCACGTGCCACGTGCAAAACGAAGAGGTGTCACTTTTGTAATAGTTGCAATATCTCGGTAACTACTGGGCCGATTGCGCTGAAAGTTGGCATGTAGGTAGGCACCCACTAGGCAATGCATATCCATGTGCCAGAGTTGGGGTGCTGCTGCACGTGCGCACGTGCAGGGGTCGATTCCAGATCTCGAGAACGGCTGGACCGATTGCGCTCAAATTTGGTACACGGTTAGGGACCAGTTAGTAGGGTGCCGTGCACAAGTCAGTTGGGACCCATTTTGCACGTGCGCACGTGCAGGGTGCCGCCTCCAGATCTCGAGAACGGCTGGGCCGATTGTGCTCAAATTTGGCACATCGCTAGAGACCGGTTAGTAGGGTGCCGTGCACAAGTCACCTGGAGGTACCCCCTCGCAATTTCGCACGTGCAAGGCCCACCCTCTCGCTCGCTCCGTTAATCGCCCCAAAAGGCGTTATACTGGTTTATTAGACATCTGGAACTCCACGCTTGGTGCGTGGACCGTTTCGGTTGGTTTGCTTTTGATGATCATCATTCATTTGAATGCCTGTTTTGGAATTGGATGCTTTGTTGTTTTGTTCATTCGTTCAGCAGCTTATTTTTATATTTTGCAAGGATCAAAACTCGATGAATGTAAGCCAGTCTTTGAAGAGGCCCAGATGTCACTATTCTCTCTTTCGCAGGTATTTCGTTCAGATTTGATGTCCAAGATAACAATTACTACTTCTTATTCATCAATGGAGGTACGTTTCATGACCACACATGAGCCTTCTTACAGAAGCCTGATCAGTAGGCCCTCACAAAAGTCACTCTCGGCGATAAAACGGTCATGGAAAGTTTTACTGTAAGTGTCTTGCTTGAAAGTTTATTAGTTGCCCGTTGTGCATTAAATTTTCATCTGAAGATATCACTATCAGATCCTCATATTAAATTAAAATGCTCGTATAAATTAACTTAATTAACTACCCAAATGCGACGAGAACGTGCAAGCTTCCCATACACGGTCTGGCTCGACGGAGTTGGTTGGATCTTTGTCCCACAAAATTATATGACTGGTGTCACTTTTTGCCAGCCCCGGCTCCGAGCGGTTTCAGCGGCTCGCTGCCGTCCGGCGACTGGCGGGACCTGGGTCAGCGGCCCGTGTCCGACTGTCTGGCCGCCTGCGCGCGCCACAACCTCCTCTTCATGGCTGTGCGCGTGCAGGGCGACACGACCGCGTGCTGGGGCGCGCCGGCCGCCGACCTCTCCAGCCTGCAGCACAGCGCTCCGGACGTGGCCGGCATGTACCAGCTGTTCAGCCTAGACGGACTCCGGGTCGGCCAGAAGAGTCACTTCTCCTACGGCGGAATCGTGAATGTCATTTCGGAGAGCCTCGCGAACGGCTACGAACGGTTCTCAATAGTGATGAAAGGTGAGGAATTATATTACCCATAAATCAGGCTGAACTAAGCACCGTGTTTGCCCTTGCACTCCTTTTACTTTCGCCCTCAATTTTTGCCGTCCTATTTCGTCCTATTTTTTCTTCAAACCATTTCTAAATGAAAAGTCATCGGTCGCTTCTTTATTCCCATTTTAGGAGACAGTCAGCCGTCGCCGCTGGCCAGCTACTTTACCGACACGGTGCCCGGCTCAGTGCGCTGGCTGCCCACCACCTTCCCGGACAGCCCGGCCCAGTGTGTGGCCCGCTGCTGCGGCCTGCGCTTCTCGCTGGCGCTGGTCCGCTCGTCGAACGACCGGCTGTGTCTGTGTGGCGACCTGCGTGCGGGCGGTGATCTCGGTCTGACGGACACCAGCCCTCCGTCCAGCGCGGGGAGCATGCAGGTCGTCCGCCTGCCGCCTCCGCCGCCGCCAGCCGAGCTAGACAGCTCAGTAGACGACGGGGAGGGAGGTGAGTGGCGCACACCATGGCACCCCCGGGAGAGGGGGGAGGGAGGGGGTGCCCACTGGCGCCGACTGGCACCGAAGGCGTTCAAACGAGCGCCAAACTAATCTGGATCAGTACGGCTCACAGTCCGACACAGCCGACGAGGACTGATGTTAGACGATTGCGGCTCTGCTACTTGTGATGGATCAGAGCTGATGCTGATGTATTGTGCTGTCTGTTCTGCAGGAGTGCAACACTCAACGATAGTGGCATCTTGGCTAACGCCTACGCTTTGCAGAATCATCGTGAATGGAGGTATGTCTGGAGTTCCGGGCATAATTGGTTGGTAAAGTGACATTTAGGGTTGTTTTTTGATAAGCTTTTTTATTTTACAACATACTAGCATCATCAACCAGCTAAAGGTATCTCAATGACACGTCCCTTGCTGCTCTCAGACACGCAGAAGATGTGCAGTAAATAAGTGGTTCAAATCAAATTGTGATATCACGGTTCAAACCAAATTTTGATAGCCTATAGAGCTGAAAATAAAGCAAGTCTTTACAAACCAGTAATCTCCGTAGCCATAGATAGTTCACTTTTCATTCGGAATTAGTTCCGTTCCCTTATCCAAGAATGTTTTCCTTATCCAGGATTATTTCAAACGTGCTGGAACATGATTCAATCAAACCATCAATTATCATCACGATAAAGAAAATGATTATATAATGGACATAGTTTTTAACTAAAAAAGTGTAGGGGAGGATGGGGTATTTTGGCAGCTTTTTAAGGAAGCGCTGTGCTCGAAATTGGCGACGAAAGTATTTCTACACTCTCAACGCTTGCAGGTTTAACATTCATTTTACTTCCTTGTATAATAAACTGAAAATGGTAGAGCAACTACTTATAGCTGAATTTTGACGTTTTACAAAGGTCTGCAAAGCGGCCAAATTGTCCCGCTTGCAGGGTTATTTGGCCCATGAGGTGGGGGGATTTGGCCGGTGTTAATTTGAGGCCTGGATCTTATGTTACGGGCGAGTTAGCTTCAGCGTCAGCAATGACATGTGTCCTTTACACATTTTTTAGGCTGACTCGGTCACAGACTTGTATTCGAATGATTTTGACTCAGGTCTTATTTCAGCATTGTCCTGCACAACTGAAAATGCGCTTCCTTTGCATACACTGCTCAATCAAGTTTTTGTATTTTATTTGTGATAACAATATTTTCACAATGAAACTTATAATTAGTGGATAGTGAGAGGGCATTATTTGGGAAAGAACGTTGACTTTTTATTCTAGTAAGGAAATAATCGACTAATTTCAATGAAAAATTATTGGCAATCAATTAAATAACTCAACTCAGTCTCAAATACTCACATCTCGTAACCTTCCAATGTCTGCAAACAAGTTGTCGATAGTGTTTGCGAGCTGGAGATGTACGGCGCCCGGAGTGCTGAACGAGTCTTCAGGGCCGGTCTCCCGCAGGGCAGCGTCCTGGCCCCGACGCTGTACACCCTGTGGGCTGCCGACCTCATCTTGGAGCTGCGACGAGTGCCACACACCACGACGTACATGTACGCGGACGACACCGCAACCCTCAGCGGTGGGAGCTCTATTGCCCTGGCAAAGGAAAGGGCACAGAAGTCGGCGGACATTATCGCCGCCTGGGCGGACCGCTGGAAGATGAGGGTGGTGGGTGAAAAGACCCAGGCCATTGTTCTCTCACAATGGGCCAGGGACGCCGGTGAGCTGACCGTGAAGGTCGCTGGAGTGTCAGTGAAGGCGGGCTCCCAGCTCCGCCTCCTCGGCGTGACCTTCGACCGTCTCCTCCATTTTGGACCACACTGCACCGACCTCCGCCGCAGGGTCAGACCAAGGACCGCCCAGCTGAAGAAGCTGACCGGCCGATCGTGGGGCCTCGGCGAACAACAACTACGAACCGTCGCCAACGGCTACGTCCGCGGTGCGCTGGAGTACGCCGCGGCTGCGTGGCTGCCGGCGGCATCGCCCTCGCACGTCGAGCTGATCGATCGGGAGCTGCGCGCGGCCGCGCGGGCAGTGACCGGATGCACGGCATCTACTCCGGTGCACGCCCTGATGTCCGAGGCCGGCATGACAGATGCCTGGTCCAGGAGACAGGCACTGGCAGCGAGAATGGTGGGACTCGCGGCGTCCCTCCCCGAGGGAGACCCGCTGAGGTCGGTCGGGGAGGCGGTCGTCCCTCGACGACTCAAGACCACAGGATGGCGCGAGGTGGGCGCCGCCGCGCTCGCGGCGGCCGACGCGCAAGACATACCCGTCGAGGCCCGCCTCCACCACACCCTGCCGCCGTGGGCCGACAACTCTACCGTCCACTTCCATCTGGACCTCGGCCCGCGGGCCAGACGTGCGGCCCCGGAAGACGTTCGGCGTGCCGCAGCTGAAGAGCGTATCCGGGAGCTACCTGAGGAAGCCGTCTGGATATGGTCGGACGGATCGGCGGAGGACGGCGTCGCCAATGGCGGGGGCGGCGCCCTGATCCGCACCCCAACCGAAGATGACTGGGAGCTGAGGGTCCCTGCTGGCCGCCTGTGCTCCAGCACGCGCGCGGAGCTCGCCGCGCTGCTGGCAGCGCTGGAGGCAGTCGCTGAACTGCCGAGAAGCGCGGGCCTGCCGGTGGTCGCCTGCCTGGACTCCAGGGCGGCCCTGCTAACGCTGGCTGCAGGCGCCTCGGCCCAGACCACAACACTGGGTGCCAGTGTGTGGACCCAACTGCTGCGCCTACAAGCAAGCAACAGCTCAATTCACCTCCAATGGGTACCGGCTCACTGCGGGCTCCCGGGTAATGAGAGGGCGGACGCATTAGCGAAGGAGGCGGCCGGGATGTCCCAGCGGACGACGCCGGTCGACGCCCGCACCCTCACGCGGGCTGCTGCGCGGGTCGCCGGCAGGGAGTGGCGAGCGAGCCGGCCTGCGGGCTGGTACCGAGACGTCATGGCGGACCGCGCCCCCGACCCGGTCCGAGCCGCTACCAGGGAGGAGGCCATCGACATACACCAACTCCGATCGGGACACTGGGGACGGTCGGAACAATATCTCCACCGCATTGGGCGCAGACCGACACCCGAGTGCGCTCAGTGCAACGACATCACATGCCCGGCGGGCCGATGTCTCGTCTGTGGCGAGGCCGCGGACACCCCGGCGCACGTACATACTACTGGAGTGCCCGTGCCTGTTCGGCCCCCGCCTCCAAGCGCTGGGTAACATCACAGGCACGGCCCGAGACGTACAGCGCGACGACGTGGTGGCGGCCTTGGCCGCCGGCTACGCGGCCCACAAGAGCCGCGTGGCTCCGTCACCGCCTCGGCGGTGACCGGGAGGAACAACAACAACAACAACAACAGCTGGAGATGTGACTATCAGTTTGGTTTGAGCAAATCCCTAGCATCTTCGTCGTGTTCCATTGTGCAGTGTCTTGATAAGCTCCAAGGAGGCAGACTGTGCCACAATGCCACCGCTAACGGCTATAAACCCAGCCAGCTCGGCACGACGACCTTATCAAGTCGGCCGACCCAGCTAGCGATCCTGAGAGCACCTTCAAAGCTGCTTCACTGGCACCGGCAAAATTGCCCCGCATTGCCATTCTGAAAAGTTTTGTCTATGATGTCGTTACGGTTATACGGAAATGCCTGATATTACTCTTGAAAACGCTGAACATGGGACCACAATGTCGACATTTGTCTACAGCCCCAATTCTACATGGTATACAATTTTTTGAACAGAAGTTAAAGTTACTATATTCTAATAAAATTCATGTTTTATTGATTTTGAAGAAAATTATAAAGGGGATATTAAAAAGAAAAACACAGAATAGGCCCACCAATGACACATGAATAGAGGCTATAAATTTTGTCATTCACTTTTCTCAGACATCGTTAAGTAGGGGGCGGCAATATGATACTGCCGGCCAAATTACCCCATCCTCCCCTAGATATTAAGCATAACATTTCGAACGAACCTTTGATTTATAACTGATTTTTTTTTCAAAGTGAACTATTCCTTTTCTTTGATATTTTGATTTTCGCAGAGCCTGCCAGAGTGCAGTTCGTCCGACTGGGTGCGGTGGAGCGCACCAAAGCTGTCGACGTTGGACCACCCGGCGACGACCCGGGCGTGTGCATATCCAAATGCATGTCTGAGCTCAAGATGCCGGCTATGAACAAGGACCATTGTTTCTGCCTGAGCGTTGGAGACGTGGAGCTGGAAGAGACTCTCATGGAAGGCGGCGACGTCCTCAGTGTTCTGGACATCACGAAATACGTGGTTAAGCCGAATGGTTAGTGAATTAAAACTTCGTGACATGCTATTTCTTTTTGTTATGCTTTGTGTGACTTTTGGTTACCCGCGCCCTAATGGGGGGTGTTTCAACCATTTCCCTGTGGTTTTTGCACACCTTAGTTACATCAATCTACACATTGTGACTTTTCAGATCAAGGTC